CCATCAAGGACAACTGATTGGGTTCTTTGAGTGAGAAAAGCTTGCAGCCATGTTAGTAATTTGCCAGAAATGCCATAGTGCTGGAGCTTATTCAGTAAGCGACTGTGGGGGACCTTATCAAAAGCTTTACTGAAATCCAGCACAATGGCGTCGACCTGCTTATTTAGGTCTAGAGTACTAGCCAAGTCATGGGTTGTCAAAAGTAGTTGACTCTCGCATGATAGTCCTTTACGAAAACCGTGCTGTGTCGAAGATAATATATTATATTTGTCAAGGTGGCTCATGGTATGACTATGTATAATATGTTCCAAAACTTTGCTACAGACTGAGGTGAGTGACACCGGCCTGTAGTTAACAGGTGAGGTTTTATCTCCCTTCTTAAAGATGGGGCTAATATTAGCGGCTCTCCAATCTGCTGGGACGTCGCCGGTGTCTAGTGACTGTGTAAAAATAACCTGTAACACAGGTGCAATTTGGGTTGCTGTGATTTTTAATAATCTTGGTGAGAGTCCATCTGGGCCCGAGGCCTTGTTTGGATTAAGCTTAGAAAGCTGTTTAGCGACACCATTCACCGATATGTAGAGAGGTGGTGCGTGCGGAGCCACAGGTCTCCCTAGGGATGGGATGTTGGTTAGGTCCTCCTCTGTGAAGACAGAACTAAACTGATCACCCAGGGCATCTACCTTCTCCTTTGGGTCTGAAGTAAACACACCATGATGCCTCATGGCTGCAATATTGGTATTGTCGTGTTTTAGTGCTTTTATATAACTCCAGAATGCTTTAGGGTTGTCTTTAATGTTTTCTTCAAGGAAATTGGCGGTGTACTCTCTGTGGGCTTTTTTAACTCTTTGCTTGACCGCTTTTCTGCATGACTTGAATTTGGACCATGTTTCTTTTCTTACACTAGCCAACCACTAGCTAACCATGGACGAATCTAACGATATATAGTTAACGTTATATTTAGACCCGAATATATACAAAATTTGAAACATTCCGTTGGCGCAGTCTCCCAGTAGCCAAGCCAACCTCCTCGAACACCAGCTAGCCACAGCCGACCTTGTTCCGACTTTCAACCATGCTTGGGAGGGGGGACATTGTTCGAGGGGGCTTTACTGCCGCAAATGTTCCTCGCAGACTCGACGGCCATGGGCTTCGATTTTACACTCTGCGGTGGCCCCTTTAACGCAAAATAGCGTGGAGGCGGTTGACCAAAAAGCCACTTAGCTTGATCGGTATTAAGAAACCCTATGAGCAAAATGACTCTAGACAAACAAACCCAACCGCCGGTCTCCGAGTTTTCCGTGTCCCTGTCTCTGAATTGTCTGCGTTCTTACGTCTTAATTTATCGATGAACCGCTTAAACCAAAAATT